CCTTGCTACCATCGAAGATTGTTCCAAACGGTTCTTCAAGTTCCTCAAACATGATGCTGTGATGCAACAAATACCACTGATCATCATCCTCAATAAGCACTGCTCGATATGCGAACTTTCCTGGTGGAAACATCAAGTAAGTATCAACGTGTTCTGAGGTTCCTAGGCTGAAGTGGACTTGGTAAGGGTCTCGCCAGTTGGTCCAACCAACACGCTGTTCTTCAATGAGTTCCTTCAAGTTCTCGCACAAGTACATAGGGATAGGCTTTGCTTCTGCTTCCCAGTTGACTGCTCTCACAAAGGCTTTTGTTGTAAGTGAGTTGTTGTTGTAGTTCACTGCGATCTTGGTTGTTCCTTCTGTTAGGAAAGTGCCTGTTGCTGTTCCATCTCTGAACTCCCAGCCTTTCTTCAACAGTTTACCTACTGCCAAAAGAGGGTGCACAACCGATGAAATCAAGAACACTTCTTCAACCTTCACAATGTTTCCTTGAATATCCCGAAACTCAACTTCAATAATCCTTTGGTCTGAAACCTTAATTCGGGATCCTTGCGCATCTCGCAAAACTACCTTGGTAGTGTTGGGTGCTTTCCTTCCGTACTTCTTCATCCACATTGGTGCCAACGAAATGTCGGCTCCTGAATCCAGCACAACCTCGATCTCTCGAGTTCTCGCGTTCCTCGCTGCACGCGCAAACCTAGTAATGGTCCTTGAGGGTGCTGTTCTCTCTACTCTGTTCCTTCTAGGAGGATGGTGACATCCGTTCTCACATTCCTGCATGTCTGGGTGCCACGGTGTTTCATGACATCCATTGGGACACTCAAAGTAGTATCCACGGTCCTGAGTTCCTATCGGAGTTCCTTCTAGGTGCCATTGCAACCATGCATCATCACTCACCTCATCACAGTCCTGAAACTCATCATCTTCATCACCAATCCAAAACTCTTCTGTCTCACTTCTCTCTTCCTGAACTTCTTCACCAACAACCCGCAAAACTCTTCCGAAGTACTCAATCTCTATCTCATCAGAGTTCTCACTCATCTCGAATTCCTCCGGAAAGCTTGTGGGCTCGTCTCCCATGTGGTACATGGAGACCATCCTAATCACTGGTCTTTGGGTTCCTTGGCTTGCTTGGCTTTGGCTTGTTGAGGTCTTGTTGGCTGACGAAGGGGCCTGAGTCGAAGTACCTGTAGTGCTCGCTTGCTCGCTCTGGTTTTCAAGGTCAACGTTCCTTGCCTGATAACCCATGTCACGCATCTTCTGCCTACACTGTGCTTCGAAATGTCCATACTTATGGCAGTAGTGACACACTCCTGTAGCTGCTTGGGCTTTTCCTTTACCTTTTCCCTTGTGTCTGAAGAAACCTCTTCCTCGACCTTTGCCTTTTCCTTTGTAACCTCTGAAACCTCTACCTCGGCCTTTCCAGTTGCCTCGACCTCTGCCTTTGCCAAAACCTCCGAAACCTTTACCTTTACCTTTGCCTTTGCTGTCAAAGCCGAAACCTTTTCCGAAGTCCTTTCCACCTTTCTTGCCTTTTCCTTTACCTTTGCCTTTATGGTGAACATAACCTTTGCCATAGCCTTTCTTTCCTTTGTACCATGCTTGGTTGATATCCATTGCTGCAAGACCACCATGGTCATCACCTTTGTCGATCAAGTCTGTTGTGGTTCGGTGAGGTGTTCCTTGCTGGGCTGCTAAAGAGTTAGTCCAACGCTCGGTTGACTCATAGTTCACAAGGTACTGACGAAGAGTATTGTACTGTGTCTTCTCATCCATGTTGAGCAACAAGTGCCTTTTCACGTCAGGTTTCATACCTTGAATAAGAGTAGATACTTTCAAATTCTCCTGTACCTTTTCTCCAGTTGCCTTCTCGTACTTCTCGATGTGTTCCTCATATTCGAGGATATTCTCAGCAATTCCTTTGTTGTGAGCAAATTTGTAGTTGAGAATGTTGTGAAACAACTCCAACGATCTCGCACGATTCGTTGGTTGATATTCCTTGAGTAGCATACGGTAAGCTTCCATACCGTTTTCCTCAGCTACATGCTTTACAACTCGGTACGGCCTTCCTTTAGTGTACGAACAAAGAACACTGTACAGGCGTCGGCTTGTTTCCTTTGCTTCTGCAGACATCTCAGCCATCTTCACTTGCTTATCATCTTTTAGGTTCCTTTCTGCGATGTCCATGATCTTCACCATGTTGGAATCCACTGCTCCAAGCCAGATCCGCATCCTGTTCCTGAACTCTGTCCATCCACTCTTCTCTTCTTGCCATGTTCCTGGGGAAAATGCTTCGGGGCTTTTAATCAGCTTGTGCAACTCCACTTCTCCAGGCTTTCTTTGTTCCTTTACTGCTTTCTCCAGAGATGCTCCTATCTCCTCAAGTGTCGTTGCTGCGTTCGTGTGGGCGTCTGCCAACGCTGTTTGTGCTGTCTTCTGTTGTTCCTGAACTGCTGTCAGGGTTTCCTGGAATGCTTGTGTGAGTCCTGCTTCTCTTTGACTTCCTGAAGCTGCTGAGTTCCTGATCTCCTCTGCTAGTGTTTGTATTCCTTGTAAGGTCTGTGCATTGATCTCGGCAAGTGCCTTCAATGCATCCTCCATTCCTTTTGCTGCTTCAAGGTTGCTGTACACTAGTGCTGCTAAAAGTAGTGACTTGCACTGTTTCCTGCTCACTGCTTGTGCTCTCCTTTCTCCTCTTGTCTTCCTTTGGTGCTTCGAGCGGTTGCTTGCTCTTGCGAAAAACAAACTAGAATAGTACGACAGGGTGATCCAAGTAATCAGTCCCATTGGGGTTCCTAAGAACACTGCTATGCGAATTCCTTGAAATACAACTCTGTTGGAAATGACTTCCTGAACTATCACATGCACGACGTCGTGAAACTTCTTTCCTACGGTTGCTAGCTTTTCTACGAAACTGTGAACATGTTCCTGTACAACTTTCCTCAGTACTTCTCGCTGTTGTTTTACTAGGTACCTAGGGGCGTAGCCTGACTCAAGGCTCTCACTCTCCTGGTTCTCGGTGTTCTGGTCGCCGTTCCTGTTCTCTTCCGTGTAGTACTCGCCGGTCACGCTAACGACGCTGTAGAGCTCGTTCATCACTTGGTTCGCGCACAACAAAGCGTACGGTACCATGACTTTTCCTATCTCCACATAGTCCTTAATCGTGTACGCGTTCGTGTTCCTGATCGTGTTCACGTTGGTGCCGTCGGGGTTCACGCTGCACTCGTTGTAGCCTTGCTGGTAGTACTCGCCGTACACGTCATAGTTCCTGTAGCGGTTCCGGTGCGTATTGGGGTGCGTATTGGGCTTCCTTCTGCTCGACCACACTGCCATGAGCTCGCTCTCGTCACTCTCAACGTACGGTAGTTCCTTTCTCCCACGGCTCGCTTCCTTGGAGGATAAGGCGTCTCCAAGGGCAAGTTCTTCCTTGGTCTCCACTTTGTTGCCAAGGGCCTGCCACGGTCTCACCGCCATACTTCCTGCTCCTGGGACCAAGATCATCCCGCACAAAGTTGCGAGGCTTCCCAGTGCGAAACCAACCAGCAGCACCATACATGCTGCCAAACCGTAGCACTTCATGTTCCTTTTCTCTTTCTCTTCCACCAACACTCGGTCGGGGTAGCAATCGCTGCAAGCGTCAAAGTCTCGCGCATTTCCTGCTGTCACGTTGTGGTTACGAAGGTGTCCACAACCTCTGCGGTGGTACTTTGTTCCTGAACGGACTGCGATCCTGAGCGTGGGCATGTTGAGCACTGTCTCTGTCTTCTTGGTGATCTGCTCATTCGCGCGCATCTGCTTCCATCCGGCAACGAGGCAAACTGCCATGGCGCCGAGCATCATGGTTCCTATGGCTACGAGTAGCATCATCGCTGCCAAGGAGGTTCCTGGAGGCAGCTCCGCTACCATGTTAAAGAACGGGCTTCACTAAGCTTCCTACTCTCAAACTGAAGCGGTCACTTTTCCTTGTGGGTCACTGTGTCCGCTGGTCTCGAGCCTTGCACGTCGCGTGTGCGTGACGGCTGTTCCTGTACATTAACTGCACTGCACTAACTGTGTTACTGTTCCTGGCAAGATGTTTAACAGACGAGGGCTTGGTTACTGCAGCAACTGCAGCCAAGGTCCAGCAAATAGATCTGAAGACGCGGTTGAGAAGCTGCTTCGACCGGGAGGCGGGCGAGGAAGAGAACCCGCTTGATGACAGCTGCACCAACTGTGTTCAAGGACAACTTGCGGTGTGCCGCAACCACGGAGCAGGGCGGCCAAGGTTCCCCCCCCCGTCCGCTACAATGCGCAAGGTCAACATCGGCAGGTGTGCAGACTGAGCGCACACAGTGTGTGTCGCCGATGCAATGCATGGGGGAAGCCAAATTGGGTCGCCCAAGACAGTCGAGGTCATGGTAAGAGTCTGGCCGTGCTGAGGCCAGCATCCACGCGTCCCAGGCTGCTTGGCGAGTGCAACAAGGCCCAAACAAGGGATCCACCAGGCAGCAAAATGCACCCTGCTGAGTGCAATAGAGGGAAGGTGTGGGGTTCTGCCCATGCCTGCCGTTGAGCAAGTCGAAGCCCGAGGAATGACGTTGGCCGGATCCTCGCTCTACGCACATACCAAGGCAAGAGGGAAGGCCAAATCATGTCAATAACGGACTTTTTTTAACTTTAAGCCGCGGGACGAGTAGCTGTCCACTAGCGAGCCCGAGATGCGCGCTTGGCATCAAGAGCAAGAGCACTACACGAGATCCGATTTACGGATCTATCTACGAGCCTACCAAAACTACAACTGCGTCTGCAGACTGCAAAAGCGCTTGCTTGGGGGTTGTGACAAGAGGTGTGTGTCCACAACTGCAGTCAGGACAGACACCTGCTTTTGCACCCAACGCCAGGAGCTGGCCACAACGAGCAAGGCTAGAGAGAGAGAGTACACTTGGACAATCGGCTGAAGGCTGAAAAGTGGTCACTGAGCACGGCGTGGCACAGCTGGCAGCCACTACCGAGCGGTACGAGATCAAACACGAGTCAAGTAAAGCACATAACAGTTGGATTGGATCTCACGCTTGGTTTTGGCATTGGCTAAAGTGGCATGTTTGCCATCATCAGCATACCAGAGTTTGTTCCCTTCGTCGAACAAGGCAGCTCTGTAGTGACCCTCGTGGGGAGTGCTTCCCAAATGGATTGCAGCTGCTTGCAGCTGATAATCGACGTGGCATACATGGTTAGTCGAAGCAACAAAGCAAGGAAACTGCACCACTCCATCATCGAGGCTAATGTGCGTGTGAAGCTTGCCACGTGAGCCATATCGCGAAAGCTGCAAGACTAGGCACTCAGGAGGTCGCCACAGCGCGTGTACCTGATCTTGGGCACTCCAGGCTGTCACGAGTTGCTGAACTGTGGCGCCGTCGGTCAGAGGCACTGACAGAGGCAGAGGAGAGGTGTCTCCCAGAAATCGCACTTCTCCTGCAGTGGTGCGTGCTTGCCAGACACCGCTCAAACCATTCGTGTCAGCCCCCGCCTGGTATGATTTGATAAACTCTGCGGCATCATGCTGCCGTCCGGGATCCCTCCAATGACGTAGTAGCTGCTTGAACTGCCAAAGATCCCACAGTGAAAAAGGCTTGGCAGCCTTTAGCAGGGCCTCGAGGGACGAAAGTAAAGCACGTGGCAGGAGATCCTGCCGACATTGGCACTGCAGCCAAAGCAAGCATAACATGGTGCAATTGGAGTAGCACACATTGGACCTGTTCAAAAGCTTGGCCTTCAGGAGGCTCGGTCGACTCACCTGAGGGGGTCGGGCATGGGCAGATCGTACGGCATTAGAGGCATTAGGGTCATCAAGGGCTTTAGGGGCGTTCGGAAGGGTATGAGATGCAGAAGGCTGCGCATCAGGAACGGTGGGAGAGTCAGGGGTAGCTGAGGCTCCAGCTGAGCAGTCGGGAGCTGTCGAGCCAGGGCATTGGCCAGAGGGCTGCGCGCCAAGCGCTCCGGCTTGACCGCCATGCCCAAAACCTGGCAGCTGGCATTGGCGCAAAGTGTTTGCAGGGCTGCGTGCAGCTGGTCCGAGGGCGTCGAGCGGTTTGCCACTGAGCACAGGAATGTGATTGACGGTCCCCGAAGCTCTGCTGCCAGTGGACGGGTGGGACAGAATCGAGTGATCAGATCCGCGTCCTGGCTCAGGCGTACGATGTGGTCCACGTTCTCCCGAACTTCCTGCATGTTGAGCGGTTGCTTCTCCGCGTCCGGGACAAGTCGGCCACCCGTCTCCGCGTTGGCCTCCCAGCCCACCGTCCGTCCTTCAGATAGCCCAACTTCGTCATCATGGACTGGATCTCGGCTGTCAGGAGCTCCGGGGTGAGTCGTCGCTGGAATTCCTTCCATAGATGGAGCCACAGGTGGTGACGCAAGGAGGTGCGGGCCAGATCCCGGTCGGCTCGCCATGCCTCGGCGCTCTGGTGGAGACTCTCTGGCAGGCCTCCCGGTAGCCCCACTCGCAACCAAATCACAAAGGAGGTGTCGAGCTGGAGCGCTTTGAGGCCGTCTTCGTGTCGAAGGGCCAGCCTGATCAGTTGCTCGCACAGCTGACGAAGGTCCGTCAGCTCTTGCTTCTCGTCCTGGGTGAGCTGCTTCTTGTTGTGGTCTTTGCCTTTGCCGCCGCCCCGTTTGCCCTTTCCTTTGCCCTTCGGCTGCTGCTGGGTCTGCGTTTGCGTCTTCGGCTGTTTCGCCGGTGGCTGTTCGCTCCCCTGAGCCGGTTGCAAGGGCCTGCTCGGTTTGGCTCCCGGCTGTGTCCCCATGAACTTGGAGTAGAGGTCCCACTCCTGCTGTTCCTCCTGTTCCATCGCGGCTGCTGTCATATTCAACAGAACCTGAGAGGCCCGATGATGAGGGCAGGGGTAGTGCGGGGTTGGCAGGTTCTAGTCTAGGCTGGCATAGATAGATTGCCAAAGCACATGACATCCTACTGCATGCCGACTGGGCGCGGTACGGTAGCTCCTGCCACAGTATCGGCAGGGATTGCCCACAGCTATGCTTTTCGCCTGAACCTCCGTGCTTTCGAGCCTCTCGCGCAGGTCCTTGTGTTTAGCTCTGAAGTGTACTTTTACCCTAGAGGAGTCAGCTGCCCAAAGGTTGCATTCAGGGCAATAGTGTTCCATGCGGGCACGCAGTGGCTTGAGTCCAGCAATGTGCTTCCAATCTTTCTGGCGAGCAGGGTCAAGAGCTGCAATGGCCGGTTCAGCAACCAGGCGGGCGTGGAAGTCGGAGGCAGCCTGACGTGTGGTCGGCACATCCAAGGTTGGGTGGGCAGGCACTACGGAACTCCCATCCCGACACGAATGTCCTAGCAGATGGGCATCTTCAACTTGCTCGCTGACCGTGGGAACAGCATTCGCGGAGTCCACAGGTCGTTTCGGACAATTGTTGAAGAGAATGTGCGAGTTAAAATTACGCCAGCCATTGAACTCAGTAAGACAATAGCGGCAAGTTGGGACCCCGCCTAGGGAGTGTTCGACCTGATTTTGCTGCTGTGTCGTGCGTCTGGTGCTGCTCCGTTTGTCCGCCCCGTGCTTTTTGACCCGATGCGTGTGCAAAATGCCTGCTGTTGCGAAGGTGCAAGGGCAATCCGGACAAGCAAAGGGGCGGGCAACCGCATCGATCTCGACTAGGGTTACATGCTGGGCTTCAGGCTGTTCACGTGGATGGCGGCGCATGCCGACTCGGGTCGAGGCTTCCTTGGGAGGAGGGTTTAGGTCTGAAGGAGCACCTGTGTCCTCGGCCGCTTGCTTCGATGGCTCCACCAGGGATGCCAAAAGCAGAGCATGCCATTGACGTGTCCTGTCAAGGCGTAGCAAGTCAGGGAGGGTCTGGAACCGAGTAAAATTGTTTTGGGCCTCCCGTCTCAAGAGTCTGACCGGGTGAAGGCCGAGTTCGTCAAAAAGCTCCTGATTGGTCTTATGCGTTTCGTGGCCCAGGTTGTGTGTAATAGCGCGGAGGTGCCGCGCCGCAAAGCCCCGCACTCTCTGCAGGTTCTTCGGGTCTAGAGGTAGAGCAGCTAAACCGTACTTAAGGGAGGGCCACACAATTGCACGCCAAAGGCGGAGTCGGTTATGCTGGCTGAGGCCGTGTCTGCCACAGAGCACCTGCCGTAAACGTGCAAAGACCTGGGCAGCTCGTTTGCAGCGATAGTCAACCGAGTGACGTTCAAAAGCCCCGTAGCCAATGATCATTCCGAGGTAGGTGTGCCTTCTAACCACCGGGTAGGAGAGGTCCGCTGCCACTCTGATCTTTGCCACACCTTGGTCACGGAAGCGGAGTTTGCCCAGGCATCTCTCGGCATGGGGTCCAATGACCTGAAGCAATATCACACTCTTCTTGGGGCTGACCTGGAACCCGTGATGCTGGAGCACGCGAGTCAGCCGTCGGATCTGGTCCAAGCTGTCCTGCAGTGCTGTCAGGGAGGTGATTTGCCATTGGCCTATGATATCATCAGCGAAGACTGTGAGAACCTGAGCCGCACCAGGGCCGAGCTCTTCAAGAAGGCGGTGGTAGACGAAGGTGGTCGCGGCTGCCCACAAAGAGGGCGACAGCGGACAGCCCTGTCTCACGCCCCGAGCCGTGTGACAAGTAGCCACCTCGCCGCCGTGGTCAACTTCGAGAAGAATCTGTGCATGCAGTGCTACGACCTGAGTGATAATGGCCTCCGGGGTCCCCGCAGCTCGTAGGGCGGCAACGACAACCCAACGGGGTATGGAATCGAAGGCCTGGGCCACATCCAACGAGAAGCTGAGGCCGCCAGTGCATGGGTGGCGAGCGGTGTTGTCACGTCGGCGCTGCACCATCCGAGAGCGAGTGGGGGCCTGAGCCCGAACAGCATGGAAGTGTGAGAAGACTCGATGGAGTGCTTCCATGGTGGATCGGCCGTGACAGTATGCAAATTGGGGCGCAGTGGCCAGGTACGGCACAAGAAAGGGGGCCAGGAGATCATTAAGCATTGAGGCGTGCGCCTTGTTGGCAGGATGTAAAAGGCTGATCGGTCTAGCATCCGAGGGCTGTTGGGCTCGACGTCCCGGCTTCGGCACCAAACACATGGCAACCTGGCGAAGTTCGAGAGGGAGGCTGCTGGGCACGTTGGCGTAGGAGTTGTTCAGGATGTGACTGAGCGCCGGGCCCAGTATCGAGGCACCAAGCTTCCAAAGCACTCCTGGAGCCGACTTGGGATGCGCGGCTTTCTGGGCTGGGAGACGCATCAAAGCAGCAGTGCAGGCACCTTCTGTAAACAGATGCTCCGTGCAGGGCAAGGCGCGGCCAGGCTGGGCCGAAGAAGCCTGGTACAGCTCGCGAAAATGGGCTATAAGCGTGTCTCGCTCTGCCCGGGGTCCCTGCATGTGGCCCTCCGGTGTACGAACATGGAGTTTGAGACCAGCCTTCTTGGGTGCCAGGCGGCGTACAGCAGCGTAAACAGCAGTGAGATGTCCCCGTTGAGCCGCAGCCTCGGCCTGTTCCATTTGTTCAAGGAGGAATTGGCGCTTGCGACGCCGCCGGGCGGCTCCGGCAACTCTTTCAAGCTCCTGAATTCGCACTGAAACCCGCCAGTGCGCAAGCTGTCCATGTAAGCTGCGATCCTGTGCGAGGAGCCGGCGCTCCGCGCGGAGTTCCCAGATCCGGGGCACCAGTGTTGATGTGTCCGTCTGGGTGGGTGCAGTTGCTGCGCCCACCGGTGCCGAGGGCTCCGCCTGCGAGTTCGGGCGGAGCTGAAGCCATGTGTCCTGCAATGCTCGGTCGATGTCCTTTAAAGTGGCTGCTGCCGGCAGTTGGGCACGAAGCTTATCCACAAAGGTGGCCTGGAGAGAGGGGTCAGCTCGGAGTGCAGCGACGACCTGATGCGGGCGTACAGTGGGTTGGGGTCGTGATAGCAGTTGCCAGGGGCACCAGGCCAGGGTGATTGAGCCGGCAACGGGAATGTGCTTCATGCCAAGACGGCCTGTGCCCACCGGCCAAACAGTAAGTGGTTGGGCCTGCCTGCTGAGGCGGTCACTGTGGGCAGCTCGAGCGAGGATGTAGTCGATTTGCGACTGAGTGCTGTTACTGTCATTGATGAAGGTACTACCCGGGGCAGAGCCAAATGTATTCAATGCAATGAGACCATAAGTCTCCAGCACATGAAGCAGGTCCTGCACATCCAGCTGGGGGCCCGGAGTGGGAGGGATCCCCGTTCCAACAATGCCCGCCTTTGTCAGCAGCTGCGTGTTAAAATCGCCGATCAGGCAATGGACATTTCGTCGTGGTATGCTTTTAAGCACGGCACCCAACTTGTGAAGGTATTCGGCACGTCTGTGAAGACAGTCGGCCCAGTAATCATGGGTGTTGTCCTTTTTCCGGTGATGCCAAGCAAACTGGTATACATGTATCAAGTCGAGCGGCTGATGACCCTCGGCCGGGAAAATGCGAAGATGCTGCAGCCTTCCCGGGATTACAGGGGTGTGTCTGAGGGAGGCCTCTGGCGCAAATCGTTTGGACACGCATACTAGGAGCCCGGCACCCTGTGCACAGCCGTGGTGTATGTACGTCCAATGGGAATCTTGCCAGTGTAGGTCGTCCCTCCAGTAAGTTTCCTGAACGCACAGTACATCAACAGAGGCTAGGTGTGCCTGCATCCAGGCCTTGAGCTCGGCCCAAACAAGGGAGGTGAGGCCGCTGGAGTTCCACGACACAAGTCTGCATCGGCGGGTCCGGTGTTGCCGACGTTGGCTGCTCATTGCTTGCGCTCGCCCAGTAAGGTCCCGAGGGGCCGACTGTGCAGACGACAAAGCAGTGGAAGGCTCGTGCGGTCGAGGTGCTTGCAAATGTAAAGAAGAGAGCACCTGACCGCGATACAGAGCAAAGCCATGTTGGGAGGCTTGCCGCTGTGCTTTATGTAGTGCTTTCTTGCGGTGATGCAATGGGGCATATGGACCTGACTTCGCCTTGGCATCATCCGTGGTAAAACCTGAGGGGGCTTCTGAACTCTCGGTCCTGAGTCCAACCCTCGCATCTGTGGGTTCATGTGCAGGTGTGGTGAAGTAATGTTGGTTCCCACCCCCGGACTTGGGACCGGGGCCTGTCTGTGTGGGACCGTCGGCGGTTGCGGTGGGCCTAGCTGTTGGCGAGAAGCTCGCCAGGTGGCCTCGAGCATCAGTGCTTGCAGTGTCGGTGCTGAGGGTGTGCAATGAGCCCGCGGCAGCTTGAACAAACGCCAGCAGCTGTGCTTGGGTGCTGGCTGTCTCGAAGCAAGGCGGAGTCATCAAGTCCCGCAGGGAACTGAGTGCATCGTCAGCGGGCTTTACAGCAGCATCGGCAGCAGGTGCAAGCAATGAGGGCCAAGCGGTCGGAGTCGGCAAGGCAGTGTCGGTTGTCCTGCTGGTCTGCGGCGGCACTGCAGACCTGTGGGTATTAAGGGGAGGGCCTAGGGTGCCGGGTACTTGCCAAAATGCGGGCGATAGCTGAGGAGAGTTCGGCTGCGCATGGTCGATCGCCGGGCTGCAGGCACGGGTCTCGTCAGCCCACGCAATGCAATGTCCGGCTGGGTGTGGCGGCCTTCGACTCGCAACTCTACCCTGAGGTTGTGCATCGATTACAGTGGCTGACTCCGTGAATGCGGGGGCTAATGCAGCAAAGTCGGTGACCCCTGCTAAGTCAAAGCCGATCCCCCCCGAAGAACCCGAAAGACCCGAAGTGCAGTGAACAACCGGAGGCTCGGGCAGCTGCTCCCAGCCAGGAGGTCCGGTGTCAAAGTAGTACGGGTACCTGTCGGCGGGCCAAGGAAAATGAGCTGCTAGGGGGTCACAGGCAAGAGCAGGTGACGACTGTTGTGTCCAGTAAGGCTGTGCTGACACGAACGGCGCGTGCCAGGCAGACAGGCTGTAGGCAGGTGGCTCCAGATCAAAAGTCCTGTGGGCTGGCAGCTTGGATCCTAGCACTGACGAGCGAGACTCAGGCTGTGACGGCAAAGGCTCCGCACACGGCAGTGCCCAATCATCTGTCCTGCAAGCGAGGGGGTCAGAGGTTAAGGTCGGCCCGGGTGGCACAGCTCGACTGTGGTGCTCAGGCGGATGCGCTTGTGAGGGCTTGGGCTCTGCAGGCTCACTGGTTGCAGGTGCAATGGGTTGAGGCCTGGCACAGTCAAAATCGAAGGCAAAATCATGCGCAAGGCTCTGGGCTGTTGATTCCAGGATCAGGCCTGGCGGCAGAGTCGCCATTGATGCACCGTGGGTGTCAGCATCTCCACTGGCTGCTATCCAAGGCAGGGCTGAGGCGATGTTGCAATCAACAGGCGGTGCTGGAGCAAAGGGCACAAAAGGCGGTGCTTCGGCCGACAACTGGCTAGGCCCAGGCTCGAGCGAGGCTCCTTGCTGGGCCATAGACTGGGTCTTTGTGTCTTTTGTTGTTTCTGGCCTGTGCTCCTGGGGGGTTGTGGGTGGTGTTTGAAGCAGTGGGCTGGTGGCTTGGGTTTGTCTGGGCTCGTGGCTGGGGGTCTTTGTTGCTCAAGTGACTCGTCCGTGAGCAAAAACCCTGAACCCTACATAATTTTAAGCCCAGCTACACAGTGCCGGCTTCAGGGTTTGATTTTTACAGACTTTGGCTCAAATAATTCACCCGTAAAAGGAAAAATCAAAGCACCCAACATTAAAAACAAAATAGACGGGACTGATGAATTAAAACCTTGTACACTAAACCGCTCGTGAAGGCTTTCAAGCCGATACCGGGCACGCCTCTGATAGTTTTGCAGAAAGAAAAGTGTATATATATATATAGATATATATGTATGCATATACATATATATATATATATATACATACATACATACATATATACATACATATAAATGTATATATATATATATATATACACATATATATGCGTGGTAGCCTCCCTTATTGACCACACACTTATTTATTTGTCAATCCTATGTACTATCTATGTTGGACTGTGTCAGCTAGTTACATGTCTCTTCTCGTGCATAGATATGTATACGGTGAGTGAAGGGGTTATTAAGCTACAGCACACCAGGTTAAAAGACAATAGATATACCAGAAGCGGGCAAAGCATAACAGTATTGAAACAGATTAGATTCAAGCCTGTCCCTGGAAGGACCAAAACAAAAAAGCAGCACCGACACAGACCTGAAGACAAAAACAAAAATCCAGCGCCAGGTCTTGAATAGTGTCAGTTTCGTTTTTTGACTGTTGTTTTGTCTTTGTTAGTTGCTTGTTTGTGTGTTTTCGTTTTGTCGTTTCTTTTTTTTGGTTTTGTCCTGCACAGGTACGACACTGTCATGCTTCAGAGACTTGGTGCTATCGAACCGATGAGTTTTCCGAAAATGGGGACAGCGAAAGGCGGTTCGATAGCACCAAGGCGTATATAAATGAGCTATACATGGGGTATCTTATACATGAGGCATTCTATGCACTATTTCTGATGGTATTCTATATAGGATAAGATATACGGGGTTAGTTTATAACATAATATTTTAGCGCGCATTCTATCGGGTGTTCTATAGAGTATTCCGAAAGGCATTATATATGGAACTCTATAGGGTTGTATATATAGCAATGTACTCCATGATAGATTCAAGATGTGCCGTATCAGATAGGTTGCGGTATACAAGGTACATAGACCGTATTCTCCAAGGTATTACCGTATTTTGAAAGAGTTTCTTTAAGGATTGTAGAAAAGGTTGTCTGCAAAGTACTCCATAAGCCAGGCTCCTACCTAGATTCCCGAAGTCTTTCCCAGACATCTCTTATTCAGTAAGCTACAATATACTTGGTGAATTATCAGATGTTGGTCTCCTCCTGGTTTGCATTATGTAAGTCATCATATACAAGGTACTCTAAAAGGTAGCCTTAGGGGTATCCTGAAAAGGTTTTCGAGAAGATAGTCAATCAGGTATATTTAATGTACACATTGGTCATCTTACATAGGCGGTCTTGTGTGAGGTATTCCACTGCAGTGCATTCCAGATGGTACTCGATCGGGCATTCCCTAACATATTCTATAGGGTGCTTCATAAGGTATTGTACAACAGGTATTTTATGGCCTGTACTTTGGAAAGGTATTCTATAAGGCATGCTGTTTTTTTGCCTATAGGTATTATATAAAGAAACCGGAATTGCATAGATTATGGGCATTTTATGTGCAATTGTAGTAAAATTTGTAAGGTATATATAGACGGCATATTCGGGAAAGTAATTATAAGTTTGCTCCTTTACCCAATCAGCTACAATTCAACTGCAGGCTTCTCAGATCTCGGGCTCCGAATGGTTTCGCACATTGAATATCCCTATCATCAGTGTACTGTATGGCTCTATGGCACTATGGGGTATTCTGTAGGGGATTCTAAACGGTATCCCGGAAGGTATACTGTAGGCATTCTTCATGGCATATATAAGGTATGCAGAGGGTATAGGCGGTCTTCCATAAGGTATTCAGGTATTCTTATATTGGGTATTCTATAGGGTATTCCGGATGGTATTCTATAAGGCATATGTAGGCTGTATCGGGGGAATTGTGTAAAGTATTCTTTAAGGCAGATAAAAAGGTGTTCTATAGGTTATATTCTACAATGTATTGTAGAAGGTATTCTATATGGTATGTATACGGAGATTTCATCAGGACTTATGTGCTCGATGTGTATCCCTTGCGAAATAAGCTTCGATTTGTTCAGGGAGTTCTTAGATACTAGCTTCCACTTTCTGGAAGGCAAATGTAGGTGACGTTCTCAAAGGTATTCTAACAACATTTCTCTGGGCTATAGGGTATTCAATATCAAGGTATATGGCGGGTCATTCTGGAAGGAGTTACCGTAGTTTATATGAATTCCTTTCAGGTTTGTAAACAGGGCATTCTGTGAAGTATTTTGCAGGCTATTCTCTTTTGTTGATAGTTTCCTTTATAAAAACTCCTTGCGCAATAAGCTACAAGATCTTGGGATCCTGCGTGGAATCACCGCTTATGCCCCGCCTTTGACTTAAAAACGCCGGGGAACGCCCTGCCCCCCCTGAACGGAGACACCGCTTACGGCCGTGCTGTGAGTGAGTGAGAGACACCCCTTATAACCCAGTGGGTACCTGTTCTTATGGCCCCTCTGATTTACACCTGCTCCCCGTGCAGGAGGGTACGTCCCCTCCTGTTTTTATGGTGGGTGTAAATATGACATTTGTTGAGCTCTACTTTGCTACAGTGTAGCCACCATACCAGGAGCATTGCATGGCATGGAAGACTTAGGTATGTGGGTGCTTACAAATCATCAAGTTTACACCTGCTCCCCGTGCAGGAGGGTACGTCCCCACTTGTTTGTGTAGGGGGGGTAAAACAGACTAGCTATATAAACAGGTACCCACTGGGCTACAAGAGTGTCGCGGTCCTTGTGCTTCCAAACAGCAGGGGGCGTCCCCCGGCGTTTTTATTTCGAAGCCGGGCCGTTGGCGGTGTCTCCGTGCAGCGGGGGGCGTCCCCCGGCGTTTTGATTTCGAAGCTGGACCATAAGCGGTGTTTCCGTGCAGGATCCCAAGATCTTGTAGCTTATTGCGCAAGGAGTTTTTATAAAAGAAACTATCAACAAAAGAGAATAGCCTGCAAAATACTTTATAGAATGCCCTGTTTACAAACCTGAAAGGAAATGCTTTACGGAATGCCCTATTTACAAACCTGAAAGGAATTCATATCAAATACGGTAATTGCTTCCAGAATGACCCGCTATATACCTTGATATTGAATACCCTATAGCCCAGAGAAATGTTGCTAGAATACCTTTTAGAACATCACCTATATACACCTCCTAGAATAACGAAGGCTAGTATCTAAGAACTCCTTGAACAAATCGAAGCTTATCTCGTAAGGGATACGCATAAAGAACATATGTCCTGATAAAATCTCCTTATACATACCATATAGAATACCTTCTACAATACATTGTGGAATATAACCTATAGAACACCTTTTTATCTGCCTTATAGAATACTTTACACAATTCCCCCGATATAGGCTACATATGCCTTATAGAATACCATCCGGAATACCCTATAGAATACCCAATATAAGAATACCTGAATACCTTATGGAAGACCGCCTATACCCTCTGCATACCTTATATATGCCATGAAGAATGCCTACAGTATACCTTCTGGGATACCGTTTAGAATCCCCTACAGAGTAGCCCATAGAGTACGCTGATCATAGGGATATTAAATATGCAAAACCATTCGGAGCCCAAGATCTGAGGAGCCCGCAGTTGACTTGTAGCTGATTGGGTAAAGGAGTAAACTTATAATTACTTTCCCGAATATGCCGTCTATATATACCTGACAAATTTTACTACAATTGCACATAAAATGCCCATAATCTATGCAATTCCGGTTTCTTTATATAATTCCTATAGGCTAAAAAAACAGCATGCCTTATAGAATACCTTTCCAAAGTACAGGCCATAAAATACCTGTTGTACAATACCTTATGGAGCACCCTATAGAATATGTTAGGGATTGCCCGATCGAAGACCATCTGGAATACACTGCAGTCGAATACCTGACACAAGACCGCCATGTGTACCTTAAATATACCTGATTGACTATCTTCTCGAAAACCTTTTCAGGATACCCCTAAGGCTACCTTTTAGAATACCTTTGATGACTTACATAATGCAAACCAGGAGAGACCAACATCTGATAATTCACCAAGTATATTGTAGCTTACTGAATAAGAGATGTCTGGGAAAGACTTCGGGAATCTAGGTAGGAGCCTGGCTTATGGAGTACTTTGCAGACAACCTTTTCTACAATCCTTAAAGAAACTCTTTCAAAATACTGTAATACCTTGGAGAATACGGTCTATGTACCTTGTATACCGCAACCTATCTGATACGGCACATCTTGAATCTATCATGGAGTACATTGCTATATATACAACCCTATAAAGTTCCATATATAATGCCTTACGGAATACTCTATAGAACACCCGATAGAATGCGCGCTAAAATATTATGTTATAAACTAACCCCGTATATCTTATCCTATATAGAATACCATTTGAAATAGTGCATAGAATGTCTCATGTATAAGATACCCCATGTATAGCTCATTTATATACGCCTTGGTGCTATCGAACCGCCTTTTGCTGTCCCCATTTTCGGAAAACTCATCGGTTCGATAGCACCAAGTCTCTGAAGCATGACAGTGTCGTACCTGTGCAGGACAAAACCAAAAAAATAAACGACAAAACGAAAACACACAAACAAGCAACTAACAAAGACAAAACAACAGTCAAAAAACGAAACTGACACTATTCAAGACCTGGCGCTGGATTTTTGTTTTTGTCTACAGGTCTGTGTCGGTGCTGCTTTTTTGTTTTGGTCCTTCCAGGG